GTCCAAGCCTATCCCAGGTCGGGCCTATCCCAGATCAAGGTATTCCTTTCGTATTTAACCACTAAGTATCCTTTATTTTTTAATATCCTAAAATAGGACATCACCGCCCGGATTATCAGTGCGGGTGTTCCAAATATTGCTGGGATGCTTCCACAGGCCGGGCGCAGCTGTACCAGACTCTTCGACCTATAGCTGCATACTTCCAGTTTGTACCCAGTGTCTGTTCGAGGCACATGAGCATCGCTCGAGTGATTGTTTAGTCTAAAATAATTTCACTCAGGCATTGTGTTTTGATACTTTCGTTTGGCAGAGCTGGGCCCTGATTATGAAAGCATTTCAGTAACATCACCATGATTCCAACAACGATTGTCCGTGGTTTTTTGGTATTCATGGCAGTAGGTATGGACTGGAATGTCCTTCGACCTACATGTTAGCCAAATGATGCTTTGCTAAACTCAGTCCAAATACCTGAATGAAAAGATGGGTACTGCTGAAAAGATTTTAACACCCTCATTTAGCTGCCGTAAATAATGGACTGAAAAGTGTGAAAGGGCCGAGAAGTCGGCGAATCACTAGCATGGAATAATCAGACTATTAACAGGGGCGGCCCTAGTTTCTAAAAATTTGTTAATATTCCATGCGCTATTAAGCTGCCTTTTTAAAGTGCTACTAAATGAGGTGCATTAAGTAGGGAAATGCAGAGCGCCCCTCTCTGTCAGGTGAAGATTATGAAATACTTTTTCTCGGAAAAAACCCACCATTGAATATGGTGTTTCTAAATATTCATTGAGTCATAAGCATGACGATGATAATGAGGAAAAGTTTCCAGTAGGCTGGTTTCTACGACGGATAAGCACCAATAGCAATGAAATAAGGAAAAAGCAGTAAAGAGAAGGTACCAGAAGGATGGTTATAATGAGGAACAAGCAACGACAGTTGTAACTGAGAAAAAAGATAATGGGGGATGATGAAGTGATAAGAAACAAGTTGTAATGAATGATAATCTAATGCGGAATAAGTGACGTTGAAAGGCGAGCTAGTTAACTGAAGCTTGATTTTCCTGAGACAAACTCGAACGTTGGAACTTACAAGAACG